CAATCAATCTAACCTTCCATCTAAATAACATAGGCCAAAAATGAGCCTCAGTCATCAACCTCAAAAGAAATTGATGAATTTCATAGAGAAAGTTCCTTTTGTATGCATTTCTCTCTAACATTGCTAACACAATCTGTACATAATTTGGGGTTGATACTTTATTTTGAAATCGAGAATACAACCTCAGTTTCCTATACCTCGGTAAGGGGCCACTTCAGGGCCCATGTTTATAGAAACCCTCAGTGTTACGTTTGGAAGTATTTTCTGCCCTAGAGATATTGGCGTTAGACTTTGAAGCATGCCTGATTCCCATTACCTTTGTTACTTTTATCTAGTTCTTTATACTGATCTATTCATAACAAGCTTAATGTTTCCAGAAGCTATTAATACTGGAAATGAAGAAAGCACCCAATGCTAGAGGAACGCATGCGTGGCTCATAGCGCCTTATTTCTAATGAATTAGTAATGCTTTGAAATGAATCAAGCCCTAAGTAATTTTCAGTTTCTTTTAGCGGAAATGTGCAAGTTTTAATTTAAATACCAGGTAACTATAAAGATAATGTTTATTATCGAGCTTTGAACCATTGCCAATTTTAGGGATTTTAGACCATAAATCCCTTATAACTCGATATCAGTCAGATTAAAAAAAATGTTACTAAGGGCTGTTTTGTAATTATAGAGAAAAATCGAATTGAAAATTTAACCTTCGAATGAGATATTTTCGTCTATGATTCACGCTCTCATATAAAATCGTTATCGACATCAGAAAGCCATGTTCAGGATACTACTAGATTGAGCATCATGAAAATTAATTTCCTGTATAAATTGCAATTAACTGGTTTGACACTTTGTCAACTTCGACTTGTGCGTATGATTCCAGATAATTGTATATTTCTGCGTTTAGCTCATGAAATGCAACGCTAATTACAATCAAACATCGTCGTTGATACCATCGTTTTGAAATGTTCACTCCTGATTATTAAGACTGAATTCATCAATCATGAGAAATGTGGAATGAAAAGACGACTTCATATTAGTATGCCATTGATATACGTTGTGACATAAATCAGAATAATAAAACCAGTCAAATGGCGTCAAGCTGATGCCTGCTTCCCAAATAGTCGTAACAACTGCGAAACGGACTAGTCGTGTTCAGATTATATAACAAATTGCTTTAAAGCAATGTTTGCAAACAAATTGTAGATTCTATTGAAAACTATTTCAAAAAATGCGGTTTAAAACAATTGTCGTGTTTTCTTTTCGCCAAAAGCCAAAGGAAATGTTCAATGTGTCTTAGAATACGTTTTGAAACACTGTTCCATAAACTTGTTTCAGAACACATTTCTTGAAATTAATTGGAATTGGGGACTAAAAGAATATTTAAGCTCATCCCCGAATTACATAAACAAGATAGCAATTCCCAACATATACAGACATAATAAAAAAATAAAAATAAGACATAGGTGAAATGACTAGGTAGACATTCTAAACACAAATAAAACGTCCTTTCCGTGCTCGATTAATTATCAGAAAAAAAAGAAATTACATCGAGCTCACCCTTTCACGAATGAAAGACTATTACGAGGTCGTTTGTTATATTTATCAGTCGTAATCTAAATCATATCTGAGATTTGCATAACGTTGGATTATTTTTTGACCAACACAGCCTAGAAGTAAAAGGGTGAGTTCGCTAAAGTGTATTTTCCTTTCGGATAATCGAACAAGTTTCGGTATACGCTTTTTAGATATATATCTAATCATTTTATCTTTGTCTCATTTTTTTATTTTTTTTTGGTGTATATGTTGGAATTGCTGTCTTGTTACTGTAATTCGGGGATGAGTTTGAATAGCTCACTTTACATAATGTCTTAACCATCATGAGTATCTTTTACTCATATTTTTTTTAATTGAATTTGTTAATTAATGTATACAGAAAGTAAGTGTTTAATTTTTTTTGTAGAGCTCGGGAGAACTTTCTAACGGAAAACTGTATTTCTTTATACCCCAAATCCAATTAATTCCAAGAAATGTATATAAAAGGGCTCATTAGTAGAATAGTTCTAGACTAACCGTATAATAAGCTGGCTGCATAGCCTATGTGCAGTTACATTCAACCGCGTTTGCAAAACTTCAACGGCAGCAATCATTTCTAGGATACGTTGTCACGAGCGTTACTTCCTGCTATTCGATTATGTCCTTCGATCCTGTTCCGTCAAGAGAGGAATGAGATGTTTGTTGGAATTGTTAACTAGTCAACTCGACATGCACAAATTCGTATTAAAATGACAAAGGATCAGGGTCTGAAAATAACGCAAATTTCAAGTTGATCACGTCTATGAAATATTTGCATTTAAATATTCCAAAAAATTTGTTTTTTTTTAACCTTCATCAATATGTTTTATTTTACCTTAGTTCTTAATGGATCTCTAGAAGCCCAAAGTTCGCAGTTTTCGCATTTTTGTCTGAAATTTTCGGATATTTAATTTATATTTTTATATAAGCGTATGGTAGCAACACTTCAGATCTATAATAAAACACACTAAGCCACAAAACACATATAAAAATCAACAGCGCCTGCCTTAAAAACAAAAGTCTCTTTATAATTTTGTATTGAGTTGTTTCAACTATGGAAACAAACGCTCGTATGTGCTGCAATTGCAGTTTGACTATCTTTTCTCTCATGAAAGTCGGTTATGTTTTGTTAGGGAGGACAATAATCCTATTAGTCTTTCCTTCCAGAATATAGCATAAGTGTATACGTTGGACCTGCTTGTGGTTTTTACTTCCCACGCCTACTGGCGTGTAAGTTTTGTAATCGCAAACGTTTTCAAAAATGAGAAATTATGTTCTTTGGATGTCATATCGTCGCTGGAAAGACAAAGAGGCGTAATTCCAATTTAGCTATTTTACAGGAGAGGCGATTGAACATCAGGTTTATAGTGTATTTTGTATACAATGTAGTCCGGTTGCTGAAAAATTTTGCAAAAGATTTTAAAGTACTCTTTATATTCGATACTTTGTATGAGAAATTATATTTCAGCAAAAAAAAGTAATATTTGCAAAATTATCCAATTTTGATAGAGATACGCCTGATTGTATTTTCATATTTTTGCCTAATAGCACTTGAATGACATAACGCCGACTTGTAAAGTGAGCATAGAACAGTCTCTTATTAACAAAAATCTCATTATTATAAAAAGATTTATTGAATTATGAAGTTACAAAGTAATTTGCGATGTATTGAAGTAAATAAAGTAAGTAACTCTAAAAAAAACAAGCCGTTCAGCAACAAAATAAAAATCTTAGATAAAAAACATAGTATTGAATAAAACACACTACATTAATGAGGAAGGAAGTCGAGTTTTTTTAATATTGAATACACTATATAATTTTAATGATAAGTATATTTATTTTCATCAGTTTGATCAGACGGGACAGAAAAACGCCTATTATTAACATTGTCCTTTCTTATATGTATGTAGGCTGTCGGTATAATTACTATTCCAAAATGGGTGGTTCTGGTGTATGGTAGCTGCAAAATGCTAAGTGTTCTTGTAAAGACACCATTTTCCAAAGAAGTTCTTTCAAAATATTCTTCTAAGTAATTCAATGAAATCGTATGTGGAATCAAGCAAAAGGTTACAGTGAAATATTTGGTATTTTTTATAAAATAAAGGATATGGCTGCACTGATCTTAAACCCAAGCACATCAGTTGCGATTTTTACCATTCATTAAAGGAATGCTGTAGTTTGACTATAATATTTGTGTTAAACTTAATTGCTCTGGTTTCACTTGCTGTATAGTTGTCTTCATAGTAAAAACCTCCCAAAATTCCTAGCAATATAAATAAAAGTAATAAGAGTCCAAAGCAATACATTGTCATGATAGTGTTTTTGAGCATCTTATTGCATATTACGGCACGAGTGACAGATATACGTGGTAGTAAGAAGAGCACGACAAAATCTATCACAGGTGCTAATTTACAAAACTGTATGAAAACTTCCCAGGCTACTTGCTTTTTAAATACCAAATAGTTGGATTAAAGATGTACTTGTTTGTGGAATCCCAATCACATATTTCTATAGAACCGATGGAGTTGCGGAACATGATCTGATAACATGCTTTACGTCTTAGTATAAAATGACATATATAAGGAGAAATAAGATAGAAATTTCCCAGAACCGCTGCCAATTATTACAGATTTTCCATCATGGTCGCCTTTGCGTCGCGTCGCCTCCAAAACGAAAAACTACAAATCGCCATTAACATTCCAGCCGTGGCAAAAAGGGGCAGACGGCGCGAAAAGAACCATCGCAGATGAGAACGAATTAAAACCGTCTCCGTGGCAACAGATAAACTCTTGTGCCCGGTCAATTTATCAAGAGAACAAGCGTACTTTGTGGATGTGTATAAATTATAGCTTCTTATGTTTCATTAGAAATGAGTGTAAGAGAGGACAAGGCGAGCTGAAGACGCGTTAGGCCTCTTGCACACGACCGATCATTCCGCCGACCGGTTGTTTCTCCGCCCGGCAAAGAAATCGGGATTATCTTACACACGATAAGCAATCGGCCGGTTACGTGCCGTTTACATTGCCTTCTGCATGAAGGCCAGTGCTGTACTGTCATCCGACGTAGAAAGAGCTTGGCGATTTTCGTTTCGTGCATTGTCAAAAACGAAACGTGAAAAGAAGATCGTGCTTGTGTGTTTATTGTATAGACGAAGAAAATACATGTACAAGAAAGCTTTCGCAAGAAGATTATGGATTCATCCACTGGTAGCTGAATGAAGTGCAGTAGGAGCATTTTATACCTTGTTTACAAGACTACGAGAACATGAAGCAAAATTTTTCAATTACTTTAGGATGTCTGTTGCAACATTTGATTATTGACTACAGCGTTTGGACAAACATATAGCCCTCCAAGAAACAAACATGAGACAAGCGATACCACCCACAGAGATGCTTGCAGTTACAATAAGGTAAGTAATAGAATTAAAATGTGATTTTAGAACTAGATATATTTAAATAAGGAACATAACGAACAAATTAAACAAATCAAATTCTGGTTGTAGTTAAGTCAGATTGGATAAACTATTGTGGTGTTAAAGATTGTGGATATTCAAGATTATTGTCACAGCGAGATGTAGTTGGATCAAATGACGTACTTGATTGTGGTATTGAAGTCTGTGGACACTGCAATGTATGGTATGTCGGTGTCCACTGCTGGCTGTATGACTGAGTTGCTGGTGGTACAAACGAAGGTAGCGATCTATTGGTATCAGAAGTCATGTTGAAAGCATCACATCTTTGCTTTCGTTTAAAACGTTGTACAAGCTGCAAAACTTCTATGCGAAATTGAAGTTTGTCATCTTCATCAAAGTTTTCTACAACCGGCAAAATGGAATCAAAAAACGATTTATCTTCACTGTATGCTGTCCGGCTTTTCCAAGATCTTTAGCACTTTGGTTTCAAACTCGTCTTGACGTTTCTTTGGTGCTGAGGCACGCTTTTTTGTAAGTAAAGCTTGTGATGGCGTTTGTTTAGCGGTTGATGCATTTGGATTGGATAGATTGATCATATCCTAATCAATTTGAGAATCGCCTTCATTGCTACTATCATCTACATTCTGTTGCGCCATCGTTTCTGTATTTTTTCTTGTGAAATACTGGATGTTGTAGTATTGTGTTCGATTGTTTTTGCAAGGAATTGCAACTGATCGTGGAAGATGGTACTTTCTTATTCTCCTAAAACCAGAGCCTGACTTAGGAGTTTTATTTTTTTTATAACTCTTCACAAAACTGTCAAAAAAGTTGTTCCATTTTTGCAATAGTGTTTTAGCTGAAAAAAAAAGAAATAATTAATTTTGTTGCAGGTATTTGGCAAGCGGTATGACTTTCACAGACCTTCACTACGCATACAGATTGGGAACATCAACAATACGTGAAATTGTTAGGGATGTATGCAGGAAAATTTGGGAAATCCTACTTGATGAATGCATCCCACCGCCATCAGACAAGATGTGGAATGAATGTGAAGCAGGATTTGCTAATAATGCCAATTTTCCAAATTGTTTCTGAGCGATAGATGGGAAACACATTCGAATTGTGAAGCCACAACGAAGTGGCTCATTATTTTACAACTACAAACATTTTTTTTCAATCGTGTTATTGGCTGTTGTGGACACATCATACTGTTTTGGATATGTTGACCTTGGAGCATACGGTAAAGAATGTGATTCCTCCGTATTTGAAGAGATGGTTTTAATATCGGAGATGTCTTAGAAATCATAAACCTCGAAGACATACCAAGAGAGCGAAATTTGCGAGGATCAAGAAGCGGGAAGGATATACGGGACCATTTCACAAAATATTTCAATAGTAATGGATCTGTACCGTGGCAATTAAGTAAAATACAGTTAATATTGTTTCTTATCTTACATAGTTACATACCTATTTCGGCTTTTTCTGCTTCGTTCAGGTTTTCATAAATAAATGTATCGATGATTTCTTGCCAGGCGGCTTTAGTTTTATTCCTATCCTTAAAATCCTCTCTTGTCTTGTCCCATATCACGGGCCTTTCTTCCACCATAGAAATAAATGCCTCAATATCTAAATCTTCCATTTCGCACCTCATGACTACACTGTCTAAACGGAAATGAAACTACGACTCTGTACCACGGCGACAGTAGAATCCCCGTTCGTGTGTCAACAGGCATAGACTTGCATGCATTGAAATGAACGCGCCGGTTAATTTACCGACCGGCAGTTGTGTGTTCGCCGTCCAAATTTTAATATGAACGGCGGCCGGTCGGCAGAATAGCCGGTACCGGCAAGTGTGTTAAGTTGTATTCGAATGTGGGCAAAATACCATCTTCCGATTTTCTTGCCGGTCGGTGGAACAGCCGGTCGGCGGATTGCGCGTTCGTGTGCAAGAGCCCTTAGAGTGTACGGACCAAAGACATCTTATGATGAGAGATTATGGGCCTATCGTATACTTTGAATTAAATTGAATTTTAGCCGATCATGGAAATACGATACCATAAGAGTGCCATCTGCTACAATGATCCGCCACTGCAAGTGCAAGTATTGGTCGGAATTAGGTATCTCAGCTTTAACAACCTACTCGCCACTATGACTGCTAGATGCTGCCGATTCTGGCGATAAATCACTATCAACCGATAGATAGAATGCAACCATAGAATGTAACATACGGCTATTAGCAATTAAAATGGACGGTCTCGGGCCCCTTTCATATTGATCGGTGGTGGGTGATATGGCTCTCTTCTACCGATATTACTACGAACTTTACTAATCAGAGCAGAGCAGCTAGTCGCTCAAAGTCTTCTTTTCTCCAACTTAACAGCAGATTGCTTGCATGCAAAGTTCTGTTATACTTAGGCGCTGTTTATAGGATACGTCGTGTTTAGGCCTTAGGCCTTCGTGGTGGTTCAAGTGTAAAAAAAAACAATCAAAAGCAGGGACGTGACTCTAACCAAATGATTACCTTCTCTATCTATACGTTAAATGATAGCTCTTTGATAAGGATGAGGCGAGATTGGATTAATGAGAGACTGGATTGAAATCGATGTACCGGTTGTATCGGCAGATCGGCACTGATACTTGGACGATTAAAAATTGGCTCAATAGAATAATGGTTATTTCTATATCGGGCAGACTTTCTATTGCAACTTATAACAATGTCTATATCATTATAAATAACTTGAAGAAAAAAATCAATGATAAAATGATGAAAGGTGTGGTTCAACCTAAGTTGCTTTTCAACTAAACCCACAAAAAATAACACTCACACAATATATATATATATATATATATATATATATTATATAAAGAAAACATAATATACAATACAAAATAGAACATACGAGACCATCGCTAATGTACGTCTTATGAGAGCACAACTCATGCAAAAAAGGAAGACGACTTAAAAAGAAACATACTGGGACATTATCCTTCAAAACGTAGCGAGGTTTGGTTATATCTCAGGCCTTTGTATCAGACAAGGAAAGATTATGTGCAACGGGGGAGAGAGTTCACAACGCTATAAGGTGCTTTTTCAATGTGCTTTGCTTTGTAGTAAGTAAGTAAGTAGAATAACAATAGAAAAAATTAAATGTACGCATATATAAGTATTAGAACGCTAAAAAATATATATACCGCTTTAGTTTTCTATTTAATTTTAGGTGCATCACTCTTACGCTGAAAGAAACTCAGCTACTGAGTAGTAGCATTTTTCTATTCTATTCTATTCCTCAGCTCTTTCTTGAACCTATTTGGGCATCTAATATCTTTTAGTATTGATGGCAACTTATTGAATACCTTGGTGGAGGCGTAGGCTGGTGATTTTTCTAACATTGGCAGTGTATGCGAAGGTATACTCCTGTTCCGCTCTAGCGTTGTAGTTCGTGTTTAAGTCCTTGTTCTGCAGAGGCTGGCACCTGTGATTGAAGGTGTATTTATAAATAACATATATATATATATATATACTCGGAAGCGTTAGCAAGTTACAATGAAGAAATATTGCTTTAGATGATTTCTCCATTAAATGTTAAATATCAGCGTTACAATAAGTTTCTGCAAAATAAACACTCTGGACGCGGTGCTGTGACGAAAAAATACAGTTCCACGGTTTTTCAACTACTGAAGGAATGGTAGTCGCATACAACAATGAAAATACTATTTCAAAATAGATACAAGACAAAATACTGTTAACTGTTTACTAGTAAGACTTTTTGAAGTGAGCTTATATTGGAAAATAATTCCTAGGAGGAAGTGAAACTGTATCACGCTTACAATAACAGCTTCCGGATAGCTGCGCATTGTTTGCAATAACAACATAGTTCGCTGGATATATGAAAACGCTGCAAAAAGGTTGTTAGCATTTTCTTCCTATACATTGTAAGATGTGCACTCTGAATATAATGAAATTAAATGAAATGTGGACGACGCTTCCTGCATATCTGAATCGACACCGATGTGTTGAACAATAAGTATACATAGTAACTATTCTATATCTATCAAAGGATACTACGGAATTGCATCAACAGCACTGGAATCAAAAGGTTTATATATCTCTATAACGCTTCCAAATTGCTAAATACAGTAAAGTTGATTTATTAGACGCAAGATCAGCATGGCTCCTCCAAACATACGTCAACACCAATGTGTAGACGCTGAGCCAATGAGCAATGGTTGAGTATGCAGCTGTATGGCATTGGTTTCCCTAGTTCACGGAAGATAGTGTGTTGTACTTATCAAGGATAGGCAACTCTCGATACAACGACATAAACATCAGGCCAAACGCGTTGTAGGGATATACGATAAGTAGAGATCTGCGATTTTGGGTGTATAATGTTCTTGGAGCAACTGTATTACTTATTATGTTCCGTCCTCGTCGAAGTAAATATTTAGAATACATACCGTAGTACCCTCGTAGTAGTACGCAATCCGCACGATTTCAAAGCGCGCACGCAGCGAAGGAAAGCGGCACCGCGCCCCTGCCCCCTACCTTCCCCCCCTCTGGCCACCTATAAATCTTCATTTTCTTCAAAGCCAAGTTGTTGCAACAATTGGATGATACATAGGGAGCGAGGGAGCTATTTACTTCGATGAGGACTTCACATAATTAAGATCGAACATCACTTACAGTTAAGTTCGTTTGATCATGTAATTATGTTCCGTCCTCGTCGAAGTAAATATCAACTGACGTACAATTACACTAAGTTTCGTAGAATATGTTTGTTGTGCAAATGCAGCATTCTTTGTAGAACGAACATGATGGATGGCAGCGGTAATACAACAAAAAATAATAATATTACATTACTAAGTTAAGCAGGTCACATAAAGGTCACTGTAATTTATCTCTGCGCGCAATGTGCATCAGTTTTACTGCCTGTTAGCCCTTTTTTAAATTACTTTTATTAGAATGTCTGTCACTGCTATTTCTATTGTAATTGGTAACAAATTTGCTTTTTATTATTATTGCTAACTCGATAAGCATCTCCACCTTGTTTAGCTTTTTTCCTTATCAGTTTCTAGTTTCATACAAATAAATCTCGACACAAGAAGGCCTATTAAATGCTTTTTATGACATACTCTACTCACCTCTGCAGCGTTATTACGTAAACAACCTATATGTTGTCAAAAAACTGACAAAATGTCAACTTGCTGCCTAGGTAGTCCCTAGTGTCCATATAGTTTATTGCCCGTTTTCTCGCTATGATCGCTGTGAGCGTCACCAAAAGCGTCATCTATAGAGGATTTTCTCAAAGACGCGACATGCTCAATGGCCATGCTGCAAGCCAGTTCCCCAGCATGCTTTCTTGGTTGCAAACTGCCGAGATAGTCCGTAGAGTATATCACTGAAGAAGTGATGTGATTCTTGAATTAATTTTTGGATCGATTTGAAATTACTGAATATTAGTTGAAAATGCCAAGGCAGCCCTCTAACCGACGGACTTCCTCCTATTTGCTCATGCTTTGGCCGAATGAGTGAGTGCAAACTCTTGTAGTAACCGAAAATCTAGGTTGTTACATTTCCAGACAGACTGGAGGACCTTAGCAATTAGAATTGAATCAGGGTAATTTAAGAGGAAATTATGCAACTAAAAATAATCAGAACGCCTCATTAATGACTCTGTAAACATATATACTTTTTTTATATACATTATTTTAACTGAAAGTATTAAAAGTCCATTCAACTTTACTGGCTCTGATGAACCTCCACTAAGAAGACGGTTGCACGTTACGCGATGCGCGAATCCCTCATAGCGTCAGGAGTGCCGCTGTGACGAGAGTCCCACATCACGGAAACACTTAACCGCTTTTCTATTGCTTTTTGGCCTGGGGTCTTCGGCCACGTGATAGAGCTTAATGGAGAGAACTGCATTGCAGGTTGGAGGTAAAATATAAAGACGATACGTCAAAAGAGCGCCACACCTCCTGAATGGTTTGTAAAGTCATTTAGCTATGTCATACAAGTCAAATCAAACTAATCAATCACCTAGCAGAATTAGCACTCACGCTTCAATTGAATTTAAGAATGCCTAATGTTTTCTTAGAGTCATGAGGTACAACATGGCCAAGCGCCAATGGTCTACCAATATTCCGAGGTGGCAGAAATGTGGGGAGGAAAAATATTTTCTGAGTCTCTTTTTCGACCTTGCACGCTTTCACTGTGTACATTCTTCACTATGCACATGGTTCTGTTATGTACATGCATGATTTGACATAGCCTAGGTCTTTTCAGCACAAATGGGCAAGCTGATGGTGAAGATCAAGCTGTTTGTCATAATTACACAAACCATCTTGTTACTCAAGGCATTATGAACTTATAGAAAAACAAATTCTGAAGATACGTATTTTTGACAAGTGGGTCAAAAAATGAGAAAACTCATTTACAAAACAACAGTTTTATTTGCACTTAAGAGTGCATTCTGTCGTAGAAGTCTTATATTTTTACACAATAACATTTTCCAAACAAGCAAAAGCCAGTGATCCAAGCTTTGTCTCTACAACTAAATACACATTCCTTATGGTTGCAAGACATAAGATTATTCTCACTGCCTGGGCCTGGAACAATCACCGGTTTTGCATCTGTAATATAAATAACAGCAATTAACAAGTTACCAGGGTACGTAATGAAGTTTTTCGGTCCAGAAGATAACTCAAATTTTAAATTGATCTCATCTACGAAATTTAGTCATTTGAATACTTATATCAGAGCGTATGCATTGAACACTTTTATCTACTCCTTTATTTTTGTTATAATACTTGATTGTTCTTTGAATGCCCAATATTCAGCATTTTTGTCCAAAATTCATCCATCTTCGAATTATTACTATTACTTATTATTATCGCACTAAAACACAAATCATGTTTAAACGTGAAAGTGTTGAGGCATTACACAACACTTCAATTTTCATATATGTTTTCTCTCAAAGTGTTTTATTATAGATTCAAAGTAATAAGAGTTGAGGCCATGCGTTCATGTAAAAAGAATGAGTTAAACTTATAGTGGGGGTTTTTGACAAAAAGAATTGCGTACCTTTTAAAGAACAATCAAGTATTAGAATACCTAAATGTAAAAGCTTAATACATGCTGAGAGTTATCTTCAGGGCTCAAGTACTTATGGATCCTGATCTGACTAAGGAATCGGTCCACAAACTGAAATACCAGCTACTCTAAGCGGAAGATTATGGAAAAACCTTCAATAGTTACTTTTAAGGAAAAACTTCAACTTTATTGATATATTTGTATAAGTCTAATTAACAATTCAAACCATCAAGATAAGCATGTTTTGGAGGTTGTGTTTCTTTGGGCGTTCAGTAACCCGCTAAACCTAGCCCAACGGAAAAAGAAGAGTTTCATGCATGCACAGGTAACACCCTCCATTTAATGGTTCGGATTAAATATTCTAGATGGTGTGGTTCTTTAATTTGGACCTCTGACAAATGTTCTGCATGAAGATTCAGAATCTCTAGATGCTTTGTTGCAGCTTTATATTTCCTTCTCCATAGCACTTTACCACATCCTTAATTTGTATGTGTTGCATGATTTATCTGTTAAGCACTGTGAGACACAACACTATAATAAGGCTCAAATATTAAGTACGTATGCGACCCATCTTGCTCGAAATAAATTAGCTGCTTCTAGCTGCTTTTGCTTGGGCCAGACGCAATTTAGTTGTATTAAGACGGGATCACACCAGCAATATTTGTCCTCTGCCTGAATACCAAGTAGGCCATAAGCTTCTACCAGGTGTAAATACGCAATGAGGAATGTCTTTAACAAGCCGATGCCTAAGCAGGCCAGGATTAATTGTTAAACCGCGAACTCTCCGGGATACCTCAGGTCCCAAGTTGAGCTTAGTTGAATTAGCATTGCCTAAGACGTTCGGCTATGTAATTAGGTGTCACTGACAATGTGACTTAACTATCGTCCTTTCCTGAAAGATATTGAGAACGTAGGATTTAGTTAAGTTACAAAGCTCAGCGAATGTGGTTGAAAATAATATCGTTTTCTTCTCTAATTCAGTATTTTGAGGTAAACATTTATTATGGTAATTTTAAGACACTTTTGACTACCGATCTGAAGAATATTTTAACGAGGTTTTCTTTGGACACTACACTCAAAAAATATTCCCGACAAATCATTTTGTGCCCATAATATAATATTTTGTCTAAGTCGGAAAATAAGTCGGCGTTTTGAATCCGCTATTTTGTTTATAGGCAATCTGCCAGCACATTTGTAACCAGCGACCTTCAAAACCCTTGTGTACCTACTGAGTTTTGTTCATACCAAATTACAATTTTTATTTTAACGAAGTTTTTAGGCTTTTTTCATATCTGGATTTTTCCATCTACTGCATAAATTTACTATTTAACCGTTACAGCAATACCTGAGTACTTTCTGATACAGTATTTTTTATATATATGATGCAGTCGCGTAGACAGAAACCTAAATACCGGGGTACTGCGACTGCTATAAAGAGCTTAATCTGATTTTTGAACTGCTTAAAATTATCAGAAATAAAAGAAGCCAACTCAGGCAGGTCCACAACCGACACTCTAGAAACAAAGAAATGGTAGTACCGGACAGTTCTAAAAGGTGTATGTGAAATGTTCTCAATTTTTTACATTCACTATTATCGGCGATACTTCTACATATGGCAAAATGTGCATCAGTTGTTCATTTAGTTAAGTTCAGTGATAGAGGCATATACATAATCTTGTTTTTTGCACTGCTTCGACCATGTTGTTTTTGCGTCATCAATGCTTTATAAAAATAGTCCTGATACGCTACTGGCTGTCAGCAGATCCACTGTTGCAAAAGTTCAGAGCTATGAAGAAAAGGTATTCAAATAGAACTTTTAACTTGTTGAATTATAACCAATTTCGTTGTCATATTATAGGAAAAGGTACTTACGTTGTTGTTCAGCAGAACTAAGTACAACAAGTGATGCTAAGAATGTGAAAGAGATCAATAAAATTTTCATTTTGTCAACAGTAGAACTTTACTATTTTATGTGAGACTGTAGTTAGATGCACTATAACATTCATTTAATTCTAGCATCATTTTATATGCTTCAAACTGCAGTTTTTAAAAATGCGTGAAGTGTTTGTGCCAGTTTCTTTTTGATCGGTATCAATTTTGAGAATGTACCATTCATGAGTGGTACTCGACACTCTTAAGAATAATGGTAGTGATGAAAGTTTATATACCGGGTGTTTAAATTCAGCCTTCACCATTGAGATCTCGGAAACTCTAAGAGATACGAAGTCGCTTAAATGGGGACAAAGTTGCGGATTCAGGTAACTGATAAAATGCTGCTTAGAAAGCTTCGCAATTCAAAGTACTTTCAGATAATGATTTTCTGACTTTACGTGTAGCGGGATGTTGAAATAAATTGTACATTAACATTGCCACTTTTGCTGCTCTGCAAGATGGTATAATTAGAATTTCAATATGACGTTTCGTCTCTTGTCCTCCAGCATCAACTTGATTTTCTCTTATGAACGCGGATTTTTTTTTCGCAGATATAGAGTTTTTAATTCTGATCACAAAAATGTATAATATTGTAAAGTTTGACATCACCAATCCTCAATTATTTCAGAATAACAGAATTTCTTAAGTAGGCTCTGGAGTTATCCTAGTCATCTATTTCGTCTAGCGGTCTAGCAGACTAGACCTCAATTTGGACATAGCTATGAGTTGCCTCAGCTTATTTATAATTATTATTGTTATTACCATAAATACAAATTTTGTGTTCAAGTTTGAACATACCTATTTATTTCCTTATCATTTTCGTTCCGACAACAAATTCATCGCCAACAAAGGAAATACATTACTGAATTCATTTAAATTAGAACATTCTAATATAGCGTTCATGTGATAAAACAAAGTTGGTGGTGTAAGTCGAAAGAAGAATCCTCGAATTGTAGAGACGAATAAATGGCAATGAGAACATGCAAATTATTTTGAATTCTTAACTTAAATAAAGCCAGGAAAACATTATTTTGGAATAAATCTGCGAAACACATGACTCTTTGATAATTGCAAGGAAATTCTGTTTTTTTAAAATAACTAAGGTTTGGAAATGTCAGTGTATGGCGTATCATTCATATTCACCTGTGCAAAAATTCAAGATGGCGTCCTTAAGAAAACATAAAGTAGATTCTGGCGGACAAGAGACGAAATTCTAATTATGCCATCTCGAAGAGGAGAATAGTGAAATGTGAAATTTATTTTGAAATCCCAGTACAAAGCCAGGAAAAAATTAAAACAGTTTTGGGAAAATTCAGTTTTTTCCGTCTCTCTTCATGGGTACTTTGAATCTCGAAACTTTCTGAGCGGCATTTAGTTAGTTACCTAAGTACGCAACTTTGACCCCACGACTTGGTATCTCTTATCATTTCCGAGATTCCAATGGTGGGAGTCGAATTTGAAACACCCGAATATACAACAAAAACTGAGGCTACTTTAAATATATGGAAAAATATGCATATAATGACTCGTTTTGGAAAATATTATTTATTTACAATTAACATTAAGAAAAGGTGCAACGGGTTATCGGAAGGAAATGATTTCTGAGTCACACATTTTTTCGAGCATTGATATGTCAAATGTCCGATTAAATTCTAAACAATGAAGTCAAATACTGTACTTTCCATCAATGCTCTCAGAAAAGATTATCTAGGGTTGGTCATGGCCTCATAGAGAAACCAAACAGATCCTATTTTGCCTCTGTTTCTTTTATGTAACTTTTGCATAAAACGTCAATGCTGGTTGCATGGTGAGTACTTATTACTCCCCTGAGTGACAGTGGTCTCTGGTACCTGTTTTATTTTACCCGCATCACAATGTTGAGTTTCTCAATAGACCAGTTTTCTCTTGTTTGCTTCCGACATCGGTTTCCAAATGACTTGACCTCTGCCATACTGAGGATTTCTAAGAAGTATGAAACAGTGTTGTAAACGGATGGTTAGCTCTCTATTATTGTTTTCTGAATATCAAAATGCTGGCTTAAGGTTGTGTGGAATGCAAATTTGCGTTCTGTGGCACATATGTTCTAAAATATTCCTGTAGCATAGTTATACAATACCTTATAGGGCAAATTTTGAACTGTTGCATACACGTTTATACAACTAGTTTATACAGCATATCTGCATGGTAGTGAAAATAGTTGCGTTGTGGCATCCGTGGTAACATTTATACAACAAACCCGAGACTTGTTGTTTTGGTATGGAAATTTACTACTTTAGCCAGCAAGTTGCTCCTAACCGAAGCGCTTAAACAACTGTCGTTTAGTAATTGTTAAAGGCTGTACATCTGTAATCACATTGCTAAATATGTCCGTATACAACTTCACCAAAACCTAACCTGCTGCTGTCATATTCTTAAGTGAAATGCCATAACCAATATTTTAAGACAAGCAACGCATGAATATTCGTTTAAAAGGTTTCATCAACTTTTCAAACAGAAGATATACGTAGATCTTGTACAAACTCTGCGAATATCACTCGACTTCGTACTTGATTTCAGAGATTTGTCAAAGTACTGTATAATATCTGTAGATAACACCAAAATATTCTAATAAACCAACGATAATATTGGGTAAAAATATATTCCTCCATTGAAAATCAGATAATTCTATTTCAGTCCGACACTACTATATATAAAGTGATAAGCATCAGCGTATTTGTGTCTAAATATAGGATTTGCGAAAGATTTAACGAAGATAAGTTCAGTTTTTCATTTTAAAAATCTAGATATATGTTTGATCAGCATTAAACTGTGAATCAAATACGAAGTCCGCAGAAATTGCGTAACCACTTCCTACGATAATAACAATAAAATTTGCTGGGCCCTATACCACAGTGTAGAAGTTTATGATATACCTTTGTATGAAATTCACAATGGCCGATATGAAAGTAAACAAGACTACTGTAATATCCTAGTTATTCACTTCGTCTATACAATACATAAGAAATAGTTTGGTTACAATAAAGTAGAATCATGTAATAGAATGGTTATACAGGGTGTAAACGTTATGGTAGTCATTATTGAAATGGCTAATAGGGGGGGTCAAGACAAGTCAAAAAGTTCATATGACCCATGGTCCAAAAGTCAATCGATTTTTATCTAAATGGCTTTATAACTTACAACTTTAAGTGTTTTATATCCACCACAATCACCACAATCTTAGTAATTTTTATAATCTAATTTAAAACGTTTGTAAATTGGGTAATTAATAAATAAATAAAAGTTTTTCTAAGTTAAGCCAAAATTTGTAGTCTGTAAGAAAGTAAGTTCCATTAAATTGAATACTTAAAACACACTTGAATCACTCTTATTGAACCGGCAATCGATCGCAAATGGTAAAGCAGCGTTCTCACGAGTCGACTTTAGTTAAATCGAAACGAATATTTGTTCACACACATAATAAAAATTGATGCGCTAGTTGTTTCTAAAATGTCTGCCAACGAAGTTGTCCAAGCAGGCATAGCAGCTATTTACGAATTATTAAATGAAGAAATCAGAGACATTTTGTCAAAATTTAACAGAAAATCTAGAAAACGTCGGTTTTGGGTCAGGACTTGGATATTGCGAAGAAATAAATTGGGCGTTTCAGAACCCTGCTCAAGGAGCTGGCTTTAGAGAACAAGGATGCCTACAAAATTCATTTGAGAATGTCCGAAGAACAATTTCAAGGACTTCTTCTAAAGATAAAAAGCAAAATACAAAAACAAGATACCATTATGAGAAGATCTACTTTCTCCATTTCTTTTGCGATGATAGTTAAAGCGTTGTCTCGAGCATCCTTGTTTCGATAACTCTTGAGCAGAATATTCCATAAACACTCATGCTGTTGATATAAATCCAAAAAATGTAGCACAGTACCTTCAGACCACTTTATCACTCATTTTATTCAATGCGAAACTCGACTGACTACAGTTCACACGCTTCAAATCCATTTAAACTTGTCTGAAAATCGCCTATGACGCATTGAATTGATCGATAAGTTTTGAATGGATCAAACTTTTTCGGTTCAACTAAAATTGATCAACTAAAATCGAAAACACGGTTTACAAGTATATTTTTATTCGATTTTTGTTGATCAATAAAAATCGTTCTACTAAAATCGACCCGTGAGAACGCTGCTATACACTGGTTAGCTATCCTTTTGCATAGTTTTGCGGCGTTGTCAGATTTATTTTACTTTAAAGTCGCTTTTCTCTAAAAAAATGCCGTTTTGACCCTCATGTTATATGAAACTTTTTGCTTCTTTTAACCCCCTCTATCACCCATTTAAATAATGACTATCATAACGTTCACACCCTGTATAGTAGACAAAAATTGAATCTTGCACTAATGCAAATGTTCTATAGCGGGTGCAAGAGGTTTACACTTTTGTTGTATAACTGTTACCTGCAGCCCTTATACAACCTCTTAAATGACTGAAGTGTCCTATTAGGTGTAGGGGAGAAGTGGCATGAAAGAGCCAGGTTTTGAAAGAGCCACTTGCATTATTTCGGTGGTTTAGGAACGAATTTGGTGGGTGATCTTATTTTAAGGTGGCAGCACTGATTTCCCGCCACCCACAAACATTTGACAGTTGGCTAGTGATAACAGGCGGCGGTACATCGAGTCAAAATTTTTGGCATCCAAAAGTAAGTATTTTGCTCTCTCTAAGTAGTTTTTTGGCATTTTATTGTAAACAAATATAAGTATGTGGATTGTAGATTAAGTTTGTGCATATAATTGGCCTTGCAACTGCGTAAACACTAAGCGGTAAAAGGCTTTATATTGCTGTTATTTTGAAGGTTATATATTTTTTACCAATAAGTTATGAAAGAGCCGGGTGCATAGGTCTTAAAAGAGCTGGCTCTTTCATAACCGGCTCTTTTATAACCCTATATTTAAGTTTTAGTAATAAATTATTATAATAATAAATATGCATTTTTATATATTATTAAATTATTTTCTCCAGATACTGCATTATGGAGAAGGCTGGCTCAAAAAAACGAAAAAGACCCGAAAAATCGGTAATTGAAGAAGCAGTCAGTGAAGTTTTGGAGAAAGGTCAGTCCA